AGATGAGCCAACATTACAGCTGTAACTTTCAAACCTCATTACAGCAACTGCAAGCCTGCGACCCAACCCCTGTGTAGAAGGACCCTGAGAAGACATCATTTCACACTTGGAACTATGCCCATTGCTTCCCTTCCTTCAATCAAATCAATCAAGTGCCTTTTGACAGTCTGAAGATTTCTGCATGAGATTTGCAATGTTTAATTTGAATTTAGCTTGCTTTTCTATATATCATTCCTTTTCACCAAGCTAGCCATAGATGAAGAACAATACCTCATATTTTATTAAATTGTTTCATCCAGAAAGCTGTATTGTCTTAGTTGGTACAATCTGATCTTCTGTTATTAAATTGTGTGTCCAAATTCCCATTTGAATTTGTCCAACTCTCATTGGTTTTTCTTCTGCTTTTATTCTTTAGATAAATGTCCAGCATTTTCTGCTGTCTTGAGATATTTATACACTTCAATCAAACTATTTTTTTTCACTCTTCTTTTTTGATAAACTAAGAAGATTAAGCTTCTAAAGTCTCTTACTTGAAGCAAATTTCCCTAACTCTCAGGTCATGGTTTAGTGGCTTTGTTCAGTACCTCTCCAAATGCTTTAATGTCCTTTTAAAACTCGGATGTGGAATTTGATGCAACATCCCAGAACTGGTCTCATTAATATCATATAAAATAATAAGTGACCTTCATGCTTCTACTCACTCTTCCAATCTTTCCACACCACTGGATAACACAGCACAGTGAGAACTTCACCACAACAGTGTTGAGTTGTTTCAGGAATTCTGAATCCTTCACTGCTTTCTCATGTTCACAGTTCATACATCTCTTAATATCCTCGCTCTAATTGTTTTAAACTCTCCTACTTAAATGGGCTGACTTCAGGAAAGAGGTTGTTTTCTTCACATCATCAGAATTTATGTGTCTGTCAATTCTTTTTGCATTTCTTAGTTTCAAACCATCAATTGCTTTGCATTTTCTTTCCAGATTGTAGATGGGATTGCTGAACACCATTCTTAAAAGTAGCTTGCTTTCTCAAATTTAGGATGTAGTAGCTGATCTAGAGAAGCTGCATCTAGTCTGTGTCAGGCTGCTTCTTCTCTCTAACATTTATATCCCACTTGAAATATCTTCAGCTTGACCTAACAGTTTCTGATTTAAATATGACTCTTTGTAGGTAAAGCACCTGTGATTTAGGAGAGTTTTCTATGTCCGTGATTGAAATTCCAACTTGACAGGCTTCAAGGCATTGATGCAAAGCTCATCTGTTCTCAGATTTTCGGCAAAAAAAAAAAGGTTAATGGACAGAATAGACCAGAGACAGGAGTAATTATAGTCCTTGTGATTCTCATTTTCTGATCTTGTCTGGTGTTGTGTGACAGCTTATTTGAAACAAAAACTGTAAATTTTAATGGTGTGAATTTGTCTGGTCAGAAATAATTTTTTAATATATCTTTTGACATTTTCAATTTTTTTCTTGATTCTTTTCCACAACTTCAGCTATCAAATTTCTTTTCAATTGTTTTTGAAGGCTTAATTTACATTTTAAAGATTTTCAGGAGACATCCAGGAAATTGAAGTCAAGTACTGTTCTAAGTCTGAAACTGGAAAATAGCATAAATCCTTATAACTGATAGTAATATTTGCAAATAGCTCACAGGAACAGCTCAGAATCACTCCCAGGGAGAGCATTCTTGTTGGGAACTTGTCCTCATAAAATATGAACAGACCAGAAGACTGTCAGGTTATAATCTCTCTCCAATAAAAGACTTCAGCAATGGGAAGCTTCTACCTCCAAAAAAGTGTACAGCTTTCTTTTTCAGTAATTTAAAGTCACATTATGACTTTATGTTAAACACAAGTCCATTATACCTTGCTGATATTAAATTCCTATAATTCTTTCTGTTAGAAAATGCATGTACAAATTCTTTAAAGTACTGTGACAGGTCAGAATGAATTCCCTCTGGAGGCACGCAAAGCCATTCCTGGACTTATGCAATAGTTGTGTATCGAGGACAAAGTTATGTGCATTATTAACACTAAAAGGAGCTCAATTCTTGGTTCATGAAAGGAGTATACCCTCCTCTAACCCCTTAGCCAGAGGCCTAACTTTCAGAGGCACTGTGCAATAAAACTGGAGAGCCCTTACCATGCAGAGTAAATTTTTATATTAATCTGGACACAGAAAATCCTTTCCTAAAATGCAGTGCTTTACTTGCTTTTACCACATTATCAAGTCTAGCTCCTTTTTAACTAGACGAGTATTCCACATGCCAGCTTTGACTGATGAAAGTTTTATTTGTCGAACAGTATTCTTGAAATACATATTTTCAATAAAAGTTAAATCAAAAGGGCAGAAGTCTGCAGAACTCAAACAGCTTTTTCTCATTACACCCCAAGCTTAGTAAAAGGGAAAATATTCCTTGAAGAAATGTTTAGCTACAAATTACAAATGACTTTTGAGATAAAGCTTCTTTATATAAAAGGTATTAATTATGCTGAGTGTATTCTTTTCATAAGCAGGCATTGAATTATTCAAGATGCTCTGAGACTTAAAACTTACTAATGAAAGCAAATACTAATGATTCCATCATACGAAAAGGTAAATGTCACTTTGAGAAAATCCATAGTCACAGCAATTTCTATTTTTCCCAGTTAGCATTAGTTACCCTAATTTCAAATTACTTTATTCCATGGCAAAGCAAGAGCTACAAGTACAACAAAGAAAGATTTACAAAAATTCCAGTGAAGTAAAAATAGAGCAAAGAAACAAATTCTTCCTTTCCAGCAAATGATATTCAAGCAAACAATGGACTTTTCTATATTTGAGTTCTGGATAATTTATATATATTAAGAATAAAAATATAGGATTGCATATCCCATAGTATAGAAATTTCATATACCTAAAGAATAGAAATATAAGTTCCTTACAGAAGACTACTAGAAAGAAATCTAAGTGTTTAAGTGTATATACTAAGTGTGTACACGCAGTAACTCGCTTCTCCTGCCTTCCAAGTAGATAATACCCAACAAAGGTAATCTGACTCTTGTATCCTATTTGCTGTATTAGTGATGTCATACAGAAACAGTAATCACTACAAGTTGTAATAATGTGAGGAATAAGATCTGTTCAGAATGATTGATAATGAAATTATCCTATTGTGGCAATAGGATAATTTCAAACTGAATTACAAAAAGAATATGTTGAATACTTACTTTCTCAGAAATGGAAATACATTCTGCAGCTATGGGAAGAAAAAAAAACTAAGTTAGCTATTGAAAGAGAGTAAAGAAACATTTCTTACTGAAAGAGATACCAAAATATTGATAACCATTTAGAAATATCCAACAGCTTAACAATTTATGAACAATTTAAGAATATACTAATCAACTTACATATAGAATAGAATAAACACTTGCTAAGCAATTAACTCAAGGATAAAATTTAAACCTTTTGCTTTTATATTACAACTAAAAGACATAATTTCCATTTTTAATTAAAATATGAGCAAACAATAGCATTCTAGAGGTTTCTGTGTTCATATTCTATACGTGCCCAAGTTTGTAACTCTCAAGGACTAATATGAAATCCTTTTTTATTTAAGATAATAAATCCAAATTTCAAACTTGAAGACAAAAATTTTAGCAGACCTTATAAATGGAAGTTTCTATAAAACTGTAACTTTTAACATTCTGGATAAAAGAGTCTTGGAAAGAAAGAAATTACATTCTCAGTCTGTGCTCCACATGGCCTATGCATGCACACATACTTGTATGAAATTTTTCCATTTTGATATTCCATCCATTTTTTAGAAGCAAAATTTAGCATGGTTTTTTTATGAGTCAAAAAATTCCTTAAGTCTTTACATTATTCCCTGTGTTTATATCTAAACAAAAACATATTTATGTGGTTCTAAAAAAGTGACTTGATATGGAGACAATGAATTGGGTAAGTAAAAGAGGTTTAAGTCCTTCTGTAATGGATTTTTGACTTGAATTCAGCACAAACATGCAAAGCTCTTGATCTTTTTTGAGACTCCAAAGCCACAAATAGTTTCAATTGCACCGTGTATCACAGTATTACTCAAAATTTATGTATTTTCTGACTGTTATTTTTCCAGTGTGTTGGACAGCACTCAAGAGTTGTTCCACAAAACAAAAATCTTTCCTTTGGGTCCCATGGCTGATCACAGCGCTCTCTTAACATGTGCAGAACACACTTTAGAATGTCAGTGGGAGTTGTGCATGCATATGAAGAGGGAGCTATAGGAGATGACATTTGACATGTGGCCCTGAGAAGAAAAGTTTGCCCTAAAACAGTTTCTTCAGTAAGTTGTTAGGGTTTTGCTTCGTTTTTTGGGGTTTTGTTTTTGGTTTGGGTTTTTTTTGGTTGGTTTTTTTTGTTTGTTTGTTTGGTGGGTTTTTTGGTTGTTGTTTTTTTTTTTACTCACTCGAAGACAATGTTAAATACCACCTGCCAAGAGACTGATCTGTTTTATTAGTTACCTATCAACATAAAACAAAAATTGGTGATAGTAGTACTATTTTAATAAATTCATCAGTACTTCTTTTTTCTTCTGATCCAGGCTTCTCTCACAGCACACACAGTTAAAATAGATCAGTCTCAGAATAAACTCCACAATAGGATATTCCACATATGAAGATGACATTATTTAACTCTGTGATAATGATATTGATTATTGCTGACTGAAAATGTTATTAATCTTCAGAAGTTCTGAGGAAGAAGTAACCTATAACTGTGCAGCATAGCAGAATAAAATGCATGTATGAAATGACAGATATAGAAAGAAATTACTATTTTACTTTCTTTACTACTACTGTTTTTGAAGTATTATCTAGCTTGAAAGAGTGTCTTGGCTTTCCTGTTTTCCCATTCCTACAAAAATGAACTATGATTGACTAAATAAAATCAAAGTTTTACTAACAAAACTTCTAACAAATTTTTGTTTGTTTGTTTGTTTGTTTTTCCTTGCTGCTAGCTTGGTAGCCACAAAGGAAACAGACAGTGCAAGATCTCGTAGCATGCCAATGTCACCATCTGATTTCCTGGATAAGCTAATGGGAAGGATGTCAGGCTATGATGCGAGGATCAGACCAAATTTCAAAGGTAATTTCACAACTAAACTTTCAGGTTTTCAGTATGTCAGTATTACTGCACACAAAAATGCAATTTCTTAAACAAATATGAAAACTAGGAGGTCCATTCACTCAAAAAAAAAAAAAAGTGCCTTCTTTTGCATTTCTTTTATATGTGTGGTAGTTCATTTCAGTAGCAATATGCTCTACACCTGCCACTTTCACATCTGCCCAATTGCAGGCCTTCAGTAAATATACCTTATCCTTAGATTTGAGTTATCTGATATGATTTGTTAGTTTCTTGCATTTCCTGAAATGCTTACTGATGGATTCAGATTCCCAGCTTGGATTGCCATAGCATGAAATACTACAGAAAGCAAGCTCTATGAAAGATTGGCCAAATCTTCATAACTGTCTGATTCTCAAGAGTGTGTTAATGACATTGACCATCAAACTCAGACAGCTTATCTTAGTTACCAATTCTACCACAAAATTATATTCCTCTTTCTTGGGCACCATTTGTGCCTTGAAATGCCAAAAGGACCATCTTTCCTCTTGTTCTTTTCCCTGTTCTCAGTTCTCCACTGAAATTTTAAGTTCTCAATACATGGAATTTTGTCTTGGCACGTGCCTTTTATGCGCTTATCACAAAGGAGATTCAATTAAAACAAAGCAGTTTCAAAGGCTGTAACAGTTTGCAAATGGAATGACTGCACTCTCCTGAGGGTCTTAGCATATTATCTAGATTCAGGCACATTAGAGCATTTAATGAAGGATTACACAAACTATATTTTTATATGAATGTGGAAAGTATCATACATACAAAGGCCATCCATTCTAGTTTGGGAAGTCTGGGTAAATTTGACAAGTGTTCTTTCTGAAAAAAAAGGAGATCCAGTGTTGTAGTGGAACCATATTTAACTATATTACTGAATTTTTAAACAAGGTATCAGTCTTTAAATTATCCAGAATATAAATAAAGTTTTGAAAGAACAAACCTATTGTGATTAAAAATTATATTATTCTTACTTTGCCTTAGTTGCTTTGTTCTATACCTATCTTCTTGAGTCCAAGAGATTCTCTTAGCTCTAGCATTTCACGTAAGCCCCATATAAGGCTTTACTCCATGTTTACTACAAAAATTTTCCTTCAAGCTTCAAGCAGTGCTTTCTCCTCTAAGTCATCTGTCACTGCCTTTCCATCTTAATTTTTATTCAGCAAGAAATGTTATAATTTTTTGACATCTCCAAGTTCCAGAAACTTAAGTGGTTTTGACTCTAAAGCCACTGACATGTGCTGGTCTTACCAGAATTTGCTCAGTCTGATTCATAAGGACTATGTAAGGGATTTGTCAGATTACTTCCTCATCAGCAAACCATAAACAGTTGCTTGTGTATATGTAAACTTGTTACCCAGGATTTACTGCAGCTGGAAATGCTTTGCTCTTTTTTACGTTAATGGTGCTGATATTTCTCAGGAAATTATAAACGTACACTGGAATTTTAAACACATCTCTATATGATTTGGGGATTGAATTTTATAGTTTGTCATGGATGGCATCCAATCACAATCTTCTGACGGGGCAACAGGGAAGAATAGGCAGATGGTTTAGAGATTATGAAATTAAATGCAGTACTTCTTGAAAGTATAATTCAAAGGATTTAGAGCTTTGTTTTGTAACTATTGAGACTTAAAGAGACAAAACCTAATTTGACGTTGTTCCTTTTCAAAAAGCACACATTCTAAATCTTCTGGACAGCTATGCAGTTTTAACAGATCTCCTCAGAATGATTCAGACCTACCACTAAGAATAAGTATCTCCTTAAGTGACTTTCCCACTTTTTGGTCAGTTTTATTACTCCTGCAACAAGTGCTGGGGCTTAATGCCTTTTTAAAGGTTTTTAATTGGTGACAGCTTAAAAGAAAGAGGGTAAGTACTAAAAAGATAACTCAGACATTAATTTTAAATCATTTTCCAGTAAAATTCTTATGCAGACAAGATTTTTAATTACCGATTTTATTAATAATTAATCTTGGTCAAGGAGACAAAATTATATATTTTGTCTTTGTGGTCTGCTTTTGGATATGGAATATTGCATATGAGTTCTTGTTCAAAAAATATAATCGAGAAGACATGGTGTTTATTCAGCTGTGGAATACACCAGAAAATTGAGAATCATTGTAAAAGCTTTGTGCCAGTTGCAATTTTTTTTTAAATGTTACATTAAACCTATAGTAAAGTGCTTCTCTTACTCAGTGTCCCATTGCAGATGATATCCATTCCTGCAAGTATGGAAAATACTTCATTGCCTTTTAAATTTGAGCACAATTATGTAATCTAGATGTAAAAAATTTAAATATTAAAGTAAAAATTTGGGCATTTATATAGGAAAATGCAAAATATTACTTGCCCTGATATTGGCAAGAATTTTTCAGCAAACATTAGTTTAGAAGCTTTGAAAACCAGGACCTAATTAAAAACAATTTTAATTTAGTTACATATGCTCTCCTGATCCCTTCTGGAAACTATTTCTATTTTTGGCCTTTTCATTATTTTCTGGCAATAAAACCTTTGTTTTTTGGAATATTAAAAAGAATTTTTTGTTTGCTTTAAATTTGCCTATTAATTTACTGGTTTTATTGCCATGTGACATACTAAGACATAGATAGAGAAGTATTACCTCCTTTTGATCTTTGCAAAATTGTGTATTTGTAATTACTGCCCACTGTATACCTTTTCCAGTGTTTTCTACTTAAGCTGGTTTTGTGTGGCAGCTTTTCATAGAATTTTTGATTCTTTTTGACATCTTTCTCCCGAATATATATATATATATTAATTCATGTAATGTATTTATATATAATATTAATCTGTATCTCTTATTTATAAAACTTATTATTTCTACAAGTTTGGCTGGTAGAGAGGTAAGATTTGCAGGAATAAAGTTCATGTTCACGTCCCCCACCATCATACCTGAAATCTGGGGGTTTTTTTTTGTTTCAAGTTATACTTGCAGAACAAGGTAGACATTTCCACTGATTACAAAATTGACACAGGTGACAGCTGACTCACAGTGAATTGTATTTCCACAATTCTGCAAAGATTTTTATAATGTCTGGATTTATATCACCTCAGCTGGTCAGTTTGTTCCTGTTCACTTGGTCTGAAATGTCTTCTACAGTCTTCATACAAAATTCCAGCAGAATGGCTCTAGTATTTGACACAGCCAGCAATTGGAGACAAATGCTGCTACAAAGACTTCATTTGGCTTTTCTGCTCTGACCTTCTTCACTTCCGTGGATACTTTTGTACCTTAATCATTTTCTTTCAGCTTTCAGATCTTGGCAGGATTCTATTTTTAATGCCTTGTAGATAGCGATCATTGTTAGCTTTTCTGTCTCTAGTGAGTTTTAGCTCTATTTCTTTTCTGCCTCTCTTTAATCTATGTTCAACTTGCCTGAATTCCTGTGTTGGAACATGACTTCCAGCTTTTACAGCTTCTCATTCGTGATTCTTTGTGACCATATTCTGGGAAGTTCATTTTTACTCTCAGCACAGTGTCTTTGAGTTAGCTCTAAAGCATTTGGAGGCTACTTTTAGCTTCTACTTTTGTGTCCCTTTTAACTAGCTATTAACTGTTTTATTGTAATTTGAAAGTAGGCATCAGCACTGTAGTGATTTAGAGCTTATTCTTAATAAAAGCAACTATGTTGATAAAGCAAACATATTTTAAAGTATAGTGCCATTTTAAACAAGATAGCATCACATCAAATTTGAAAGGATGGCAGGTACTACAACATGGAAGTGTTTGAAAGAAACCTGCCTTGCAAACAAATTACTAATATGGGCAAGAAATACAATTTTTTCCCTGACAGTTTTTAGTGACTGCCTTCATTCATAGTCCCTACTTTTCCTTTTCCCCTTGATCCTTTTCAGGAGTTGAGCATGTAAAGCTTTTACTGAATTCTCAGAAATACTGGATATGCTCCACAACTCTAAATCATTAACTGTGTATCAAAGTGACTGCAAGTGCTACCTCCTTACCTGAGAATTCTGCTCCATAGGTGTAGTCTTGTGTATTGCAAAGACTCAAGTATGTGCTTAAGTGTTTTGTTAGAATTGTTGTACAGGACTTCAAAACAATTTCTGCTCTCAGAAAAGAAAGCTGGATATTTCAAGTTCTCTCCTATTGGGAGAATTTTTAATGGACATTCTGATTCTTCAAGTATTTAATGTGAAATTTATTGGTCATGTTAGATTTTGCTAGTAGTAATCACCAATAGTGGCAGAGGAATTTTTTTTCTTCAGTGACACTAAAAAAGAGATATTGCATAAAGGCTTATAAGACCAGTCTTCATATTCCAGATACAGATCCCTCATTGTTAGACTGCTTACAACTACAAAAAGAATCCACATTCTCCAATGCTGAAGTGGTTTATTGATATAAGAATACTGAATTTTAGGAAGGTAACAAAAAAAACCCAAAAACTGGAGATGGAAAAACCTTGCTTGGTTTGGACACAGACTGAAATTGATAAGGAATAATGGAAAAATTAGCATGTTTTTCCACAATGTCATTTTTAAAGTGACTTCTGGAAAATAATTTAAACCCTTTTCCATGAAGAGGCAATTCCTTGTTCAGTTATCATAATGACTGCTCTGCCACTATTGATTCTTCAAAATGCAGGATAAGACAAAACAACAGTTGACTGAGGGCCCATTATAACAAAGAATTCAGTTATAAATGGACTCAAACATTTTGTGAATTTAAGAGAAATGGGAATAGAATCTAAATTACTTTCCTGTAAGCAGTAGAGATAAGAGCAGCAATAATGCATTTATTTTCCCAGTGATGACAGATAACATTGAAGGTAGAAGCTGCCTTGAGTGAAGAAAGTCACTTTCCCCTCTAATTGTTGTGAGAAGTGACATGCATTCTCACTGAAATACACATAAAATATTTTTACTATATATTTCAAATGGGATGTTGGGGTTTTTTTTCATTTTTTGTATAGAAGCATGTGTGCAGGTTTATACTGAACTTTGTTTCTGTGGGTTTTTTTTAAATTGCTAAATGTGGTCAGATAGGTAGCGTACCTGTGACAAAAATCAAAGAAAATTATAAGAAAACATTAAATTTAATGTGTGTTAAATTAGTTATGAATGTAGCATTATTTCTTCCAAAGTCAGTAAATATTGTTTACAGTGGTTTATATTGAACAATCAATCAATAAGCAATAATTCTGGAACAGGGACTGGTGGGGTTTTTTTTCTCTTTTGCAGGTCCTCCAGTTAATGTCACATGCAACATATTTATAAACAGCTTTGGATCCATTGCAGAGACAACCATGGTAAGATATTTTAACTAAGTCAATGTTTGAAGTTCAAGTGAAATATGTTCCATGAGCTCTAAAGCTAGCTAGGGCTTCTCTTCAGCTGGAACTCAGTGAAGAAGGAAATCCACTTCTGAGAATGGAAAGTGAGAATTCCTAATTTGGCAATTGATTTTTTTTTCCTAACAAAAATTTAATCATTATACCACCACACACAAGTAAAAGTAAAGCCAAGGCTAGAAGGCTTTTTTTAATTATTTCAACCTGAGTTTTATTGGACAGTTTCAATGAAATAATTATTAGATAGATATTAATTTCAATAATGTTCCACCTTCCTAACCTCAAAAGGTCTAATTCATTAAGCAACTTTGTTAATAATATTTTTTTAATTTCAGCATGTACAGTGTATACTGAGATGAATACTTTATTTTTAAAATCCTTCTTCCATAGGGTTATTGCAGTGAAATTATAGAAATTACTAAAACTTTGAACTGGTATATAAAATTTGGAATAAAAAGAAGATGGTTGCATACTTTTGTACATACACTTAAAATTTGTCTACTAAAGAAAGATGATAGAGTACAAAAAGATGAGATTTTAACAAAATGAGGAGAAGAGGTCAGAGTGTAAAGGTAGCAAAACTAGACATTGAATTGTGAATTGATGAGAACCCTCAGGATAATCAGACTAAAAGGTGAGACATATGCTAGTAACTTGGAGTATATAATCACTAAAATTCACTGTGGGGACAGTCCTTCTCTCCCCAAGCGTTTCACATTTGTTTGAAGAAAGTTAAAAACACCTTTTGGAAACAGTTACATAGTAATTTTGGGGCAGAGCAGGTTAAAATACAGAGAGAAGACAGAACAACTGTGGGAGTTTGTAAGATCCAAATATATAAAATACTCTGAAATCCCAACAATTTCAGGAGTCAGGATATGTATTTGGAATGACAGAACTGAATTGTTATAGCAAGAAAAGAAAAAAAAAAGAAATCCAACCCAAACAAACAAAAACCTACCAAAAAACCCTAGTGTAACCAAGAACCAAGGACCTGCAGTCAGGAAAACAAAAAGAAAAATTCATATAGTCAAATATTTATACCCCCTATCTTCAAGTGGTATTAACAACTGCTTGTTCTTTACCTACCTTGGAATGTAGTAGTAGATGTTATTGAGAGAGGTAGATGATTTTGTTTTCAGATAGAAAATTACTTTAATTTGTATCTGGGGGCCTTTCCAGATTGCAAATCCCAAACAGATTGACAGGGCATCTAGAGAGATTTATTCAGGTTCAATCAGAGGATTAAGCAGTACCCACATGATTAGAACAGCGTTCCACAGCTACTTCCTAATGTCTGGACAAGTGGATCTGGTCCAAAAGAGGAGACAGACCACAAGGTCAGTAAAGTTCAAAGACCTAGCCACTCAATTGCTATATAAAGGATATATACAAAGCTGGAGTTGTTAACACACAAAAATTGTCCTGAGTTTGGGAAGAAGATGACCAAGTTCACATCTCATTTGGATTTTCTCTCCAAAACCAGAGAATTTTAAACATTTCCTTTCAGTGCAACTTAGTAAAGTTAGTACAATATTTCTATTTTATAATCAACCTACATTCTGATCTGTGTTATTACCTCCAAAGCAAATTGAAACAGTCACGGTAGACAATGAGCTGGTCTGTAACAAACAGTTACAGGTAATGTAATATGTTACAGAAAATACCAAACCTGGTCAGAACCACAAGTTTTTTCATTCTCTGATTTTCATGCATTCAGAAACTGGACATTTAAGTACAACCTTGACCTTCATGATGCTTGTGTTCTGCTGAAAATGTATTCACTGACATAGCTCAAAACAGACTTCTACTTATTGTCAGCAGCTGATGACCTCTCAGAGACTCAAACATTTCTTTGCAGAACAAATGTTTTTGTCTAGATATGACTTTCAATTGTGTGGTTTATTAGCTTTTCTTCTCCCTAATACTGATGGTGAGCTTCTGAAAAACATTAAAATCTTTCTACCTTTAAATGACAATGAAAACAATCTTGCATTTCACAAACTGAAATTTTAACTATAGTTAATTCACTGCAGTTCAGTATGTCTTCAATTTTCACTATTTTATCAATTGAATGTATTGTATCCTTTAAAATTCAGGTACCTGTGTCTTAACTCATTGGAACAAATTCTTAGACTCAAAAAGACTTTAAATTCTTGATAAATACCTCTTTTTCCAAACTGTAAACAGAACTGGTTAAGTAAGCAACAAGTGCAAAATAAAAACTGGCCACTGATACCTTGTATTTAAAACTACCATCTGATAATGGGGTACATATAGCTGTATACCGGCTTTAAAGGATTCCTAACACATCCAGCCCTGTCCTTTCCTGTCGCGGCAATTGCCCCTGCAAGTGTCCTTCTCTGTCCGGGCCTCCTAGGGTCTCTTGCTGATGTCCAAAATCTTTGAGCTCCCTCTGCTGCCTCGGCTGTGCATAACAGAGGAAACAGGCAGAGAAGCAAGGGGTTAAAAAAGCCTGCGTCGCCTGCAAAGCAGCCCGGTGCCAATTTGACACTGCTGGGCCGAATAGCTCTCAGTAACGGCGAGGAGTGTGGCAGTGGGCAATGGGAAAGGCAGTGTGCGGCTCTCGGGCAAGCACATTCTCTTTAACTCACCTACACCTGCTCCAACAGCTCAGGAGAGGCAGACAAACCAAAAAAGTAGCATCATTTGGCTTACAGATTGTCAACTCTGTAAACTGGTTCTCCTTTCTTTTTTTTTCTTCCTTCCTTCCTTCCTTCCTTCCTTCCTTCCTTCCTTCCTTCCTTCCTTCCTTCCTTCCTTCCTTCCTTCCTTCCTTCCTTCCTTCCTTCCTTCCTTCCTCCCTTCCATGGGTTCTAGTTATTTAATATTCCATTTCTTTTTCTCAAAGTACAAATCAGATGGTTCACAGCAGGGAAAAGAATGCCACCTCTTTCTAGGAAGCTGAGTTGGACCTAGGTGATTTTAAGTGATCATATAAGCACTTTATGTCATGTATCCTCTGAGGAGGCAGGCAAAAAAGTAAACTACATAATTGAAAGTGCCCTTAAACAAACTTTTAGCACTGGCACCACTTAGGTTCTAGCCTCACCAGTTTTTCTGTATCATCAAGCTGAATGGTAGCACTAGATCTGTGCATGATATGCACAAAGTAAGAATTTCACACTCATCCTCTAGACAAGAAAAACTCTTATTGCTTCACACATATAAAGGAAAACCTAGGACCAGTGTTTCATATTTTACATTTTGCTGTTATTCTGGGCTTTTACACATAAGAATTTAGAAATCTGGAAGAATAAAAGATTAAAAAATTGCAAAAGCCCAGAATAAAATTACTATTTCATTATAATGAAATTAATATAACATATTTAATACAAATTAACATGTAAAGTTTTTAATTTGAGATAAATAGTAACACCAAAGCACATATAACATTAAAAATCTGACGAATTTGTTGGATTGCTTGATCACATAAATTAAATGTATATTGGTGGTATAGGAACTATATCCTACAGGAAAGCAAATACTTTTTTTACTGGTGCAGTGGAACTTAAATTTCAGCTTTTATCACAATACCCTGAAAAATTCCTTAGAGAGTTTTTGTAGCTCAAGCTGCACTCAGCTTGCTTTCACACTGTATCTCCTAAAGCTAAAAGATTTTGTGATCATTAAGAGCAGTGGCATGTATATTGTTGGTAATTGCCCAAAAATAAGAGGAGAGATTATTCAGTCACACAAGGTCAAAATAATATCAGTGCCAACATTTTCAGCTGCAAATGTTCAGAGTCAGAACACTGAATACACAAAACAATTAGTCTATTGGGTAAGTAGTAGGCTGTACCAAAATATCTGGTTTTATTCTAGGAAATGTGACTGATAAACTTGCTCAAGGTTTTCTGAGTTTTAAAGGTCAGGTACAAAACTGACCTTAATGCAGATTTACAGCAATTTTGACTCAGGGTGTGTTAATATGCTTAGCATAATGCATGTGCTCAAAATGCATTGAAGGGGATGCTCACAGAGAGATGTGATGGCAAATAACAACAGTGCAGACAATTAACGCTGAATTAATTAATTTAATTATAGTCTAACACTCTTAATTAATCTCAATTAACAATTGAAAGTCATGTTTCTTATTTGTCCTTACCATGTTTTTGCTCAGGGGTATTTTTTGATTCAGTCTGAAAAGAATTTAACGTTGATAGGAAGCACGTTATAGATCTTTCTGTACTCCCCCCACTAATGAGATCATCTTGCATTTACAAATAAAATATGCTTTTAAACCACACCAACACATTTTTAAACCAACATGATTACTGTCCTTTAATGACTCACAGCTCTTTAATTTCTTTAGCTTCATCTTTCTTCAATAAGCATTCCTGATTTGGTTCTATCATACCTATTCTAGGTTGTCTTTCAGTAGATTCCTTGGAAGAAGTGTTCTCTTGTACACCTTACAAACCTCAATGCTAAAGAGCTTCATCAAGCATTTTTCCTCAAATGAATCATTTAGGCTGATATCTCAAATACAAAGAAATAGATGCCTTTCTTTACTGAAAACACACTGAAAAATCTGTCCAGTGTATATAGCAATGTGTTAATACTGAAGTGTGAGGAAGAAACACCTATGCTTTGTCCCTCAGATGAGTGAAAGCAAGGCCTCTCAATAATGGCCACTTTACAGTTTCAGAATTTAAAAAAAAAAAAAAGGTCCCTGTTTGACAATGAACTCCCTTCTATCATGGCACAGAAAAATGGATTGTTCTTGTGCAAGTTTGGGCATCAGATTATATAACATCCTTTAGTTTTTTCATACACTGGCCACTGCCACCGTGATCCTGGGTTACAGAGTCACAAGTAGACAGAGATTTTACAAATTCTAGTGGGTCTACAGCTATCCAGTTTGTTACATGTCCAGAGTAATACAAGAAAATCCTGTTGCTGAACCTGCATTCTAAGCAGAGAGATCATATCAC